GTGCGTGCGTGCGTGCGTGCGTGCGTGCGTGTGTGCGTGTTAACCGTGTGTGGCTGTACTTGCAGGAACAGCGCATCCTCAGGTTCTGGTACGTGCCGGACATGTCAGAGGCTGAACAGATGATCGACACTCATGAGTTCTTCAAGGAATTGATTCGGCCAGACGAGTTCCCCAAAGGTAGGCTGACCATCCACAGAAGACATGTACTGCTGGTGTGTTCCTTTGTACTTTGTATCACGTTTGACGAGTATCATTTGACGAGTTCCCCAAACGTATGCCGGCCATCCACAGATATGTGTTGCTGGTGTTTACCTTCGCACTGCCCATGAATCTTCTCCTTCAACAAACCGCCAGAGTGTGCTTTATGATGATCGTGTGGGGATCTTTCAGGTCCTTAAGTCGCGAAAAAAAGTAAACGGTTTTTAGAATGCATTCCGTCACACTTTTTCTAACAGTGACAGATTTTTTTACTAATAAACTGATTCGTTGTCGTTGCGGTGTATTGTGGCTATTAGGGTCAAATTACTTTGGATATGTGCATTAAACAGATTTATTGGAGTGAAAGATTTATCATGATGTGCTATTTTATGTGCAAGTTATGCAACGGAACAGATATCGTTTTCACGATCTGCTCGATTTTGTCTATAGCATTAAAGCAGCACTTAGTGGTTGGTGAGTGATTGAAATTTTTGTTGTAGTTTTTAGGCGACTTATTTGGATCACTGGTGATGTTTTCAGATTACGTCGGCTTCATTAAGAAGATCATGAAGATGATGCAGCAGCGATACGTCAAGATTAGGAAGATTGAGTGTGAAATGACACAGCTGGAGGATCTGGTGGAACCGCCACCCAACTCTCCCATCGGTGAGAACGGTTGTCAGTGGCTCCACTTAACTCCACCGGACAAAACTACAGGGGTCAGATATCACCTCACTCTCATCCCTTACCGACGAAAACTGTTGGCTGTTGTCATTCCGACCTAACTCCCCCACCGTACAGAACTAGGGGGTGTTATATCACCCTACCCTCTTCCTCTACCAACAAAAACTGTTAGCTGTTGGCATCCCAACTTAACTCACCCACCAGACAGAACTAGGGGGTGTGATAGCACCCTACCCTCCTCCCCTGTCGGCAAAAACTGTTAGCTGTTGGCACCTCTACCTAACTCGCCCACTGACGCAAACTATAGAGCAGGGAGAACCCACTCGTGGTTGTCTCTGTCATTGGTTAGGGGAATGACAGCCACGCGGCTCTTCCACCAGTCAGAACGACGTCTTTCTCAGGCACTGTTCAACTTGCATCCACAGTGCTCCAGATAATTTTTGGCGTTGATGAGTATTTACTCACCATTTTTTTTATGTATGAGTATCGGCAAGATCTCTATGAGTACTCCTTGTTGGCAGTACTCATCATATTTTCTTAGTATGAGTATCGACCAGAATATTAACATATCTTGCCTTTACAACCTCATTAGTTTAAGAGGTACTCACACAAAACTTGACATAGTGATTGTACACCACCCAAAGACCCTGCCGTTCTTTGGGAGGTGTCCAAACTCCATGTCAGGTTACGCAGATTAAGTGCAATTTCTTATATATTCTAAATCAATGTGATTTAGAGCCGAGCCGATACGGGAGTAGATGGAAGGTTAGCGTACTGATACGATCTGTTTGTTTTCTCATGTACGTATTTATTAAAACACAAGCGTATCTATACGCATACCTTTGAAAATTACATGCGTATTTGTATGGAATTCATGCATATTTACGCAAATACGCAAGTTATCTGGTGCACTGATCCAGCCTCATGCTCACCCCTCTTCCCCCCCCCCCACACACATCTGCTCGGTTCCTGTTCCTGGGATATTTTTGGGCAGCTTGTTTGCTTTGTGCGAGCGCAAGTCTCCTATTGAGTTTTTGTGGCGGGCGTGTTTTTGTCAGACGAAGCGTTGCGCAACGAGCAGGGTGGCATGCGTGCGTGTGTGTGCGTGCGTGCGTGTGTGCGTGCGTGCGTGCGCGTGCGTGCATGTGCGCGTGCGTGCGTGCGTGCGTGCGTGCGTGCGTGCGTGCGTGCGATACCGTGCCGCCCCCGCTGCTCCTATCCTGCATCCGACGCCGTTGCCTCGCACTCTGCTTACGAGGGCTGCATTGGTGAAGCAAGTCTTTTTTCTAGCATTGCTACTGGCAGCTTCTTACTCAGTGGAAAGTCTGTGATGTATGAGTAACGCAGTCGTGACGACCCGAGTCTGGCACGATTTTTCCGTGTTCGTACTTGTGTGGCGTTGGTTTTTGCGCGCACTTCCCTCGGGGGAGAATGCGTGTCTGATGATCAGCTGGACGTAAATGCTGGCAGCCTGGCATGTACCATAATTAATGATTAGTGCATCACATGTTGCAATTACGTATGTGCCGTACAAATATGTCGTAAGTCCATCTAACATTGATGTCTGTCTGTGCATGCGTGCGTGCGTGCCTGCGTACGTGCGTGCGTGCGTGCGTGCGTGCGTGTATGTGTTTGACTGCATTCTAAGCTGTGTATTCGTGATATTCTTTAACTGATGTTTTTTAACAGTAATATTTTGACTTTTGTTTAGGCGCGTGTCGCTGTATTCGTACGTTCGTTTAATCGCGCTAGCCACGTCGCATTTCATCTATCGTCCTTTGCTTGCGCAGGCGGCTCCACTCTAGTTCGCGTCAGCTCCGTGAAGCTGCTGCCCGGCAAACCGCCCGTGCCGCCGCACCAGAAGACAGAGGGCGCCGACGAGCCGCGGAAGCGCGCGACCAGCACGAGCCCGCTGCGCGGCGGCGGCAGCCCGACCTCGGTCTCCAGCACCGTCTCGGTGACACGCATGTCGCGGCCCTGCTCGCCGAAGCCGCGCTGCGACTCCCTCTCCTCCGCCGCGTCCTCCTCGTCCTCGTCCGCCGCCACCAGGGGGCCGCCGACGTCCATCTCGAGCAGCGTCGCCGTGACGTCGCGCCCCCGCGGCGGCGGCAGCACGTCGCCAGGTGGCGCCGCCATGCGCTCGGTGAGCACCGTCGACAGCAAGCCGCTGAAGTCGCGGCCGAAGAGTCCCGTGCGCATACAGACGACGGTGACGATGCCGAAGAACGAGGTGGCGCCCCCTGTCGGTGCGCTCAAGCGCTCCAAGTCGCTGAAGATCCTGACGACGGTGACGCCGACGGACGCCGAGCGGCCGCTGATTGGCCGGTCGAACTCGCTGCGCATCATTACGACCGTGGAGCCGGAGGGCGATGATGGTGGCGAGCTGTGGCGCACGGGATCGTTCCGCATCCTCACGACGGTGACGACCCGGAAGATTCCCGACGTGGCGGCGGGCGGAGAAGGAAGTGCTCCCGACCTCCCCGCGCTCACGCACCGTGCGCGCTCGCTGCCAACACTGCCGGGGGTTCTCGCTGCAGTGGTGCCTTCACCGCTCAACGGCGGCGGCGTCGACTCGGGGTTGCGTCCCGGCTCGGCAAAGTGCGCTCCTGCCGCTGCCGCTGCTGACGATGATGATAGGGAGTATGTAATCGTGAAGCAGAGCGTGAAACCTCCTCCTCCTCCTGCATCCACCCTTCCCCCTGCCCCGACGCCGACCCCTCCTCCTCCTCCTGCATCTACCCCTCCCCCTACCCCGACGCCGACCCCTCCTCCTGCACCGACGCCGACCTCTTCCCCTGCCCCTCCCTCTACGTCGACTCCATCTTCTTTGCCTATGTCCATCCCACCCTCATCCCCTCCATCAAAACCTCCCCCTCCCCCTCCATCCAGTCCTCCCCCTCAGCCTCCAACCAGCCCTCCCCCTCCCCCTCCATCCAGTCCTCCCCCTCAGCCTCCAACCAGCCCTCCCCCTCCATCCAGTCCTCCCCCTCAGCCCCCAACCAGCCCTCCTCCTCTCTCTACTGCATCAACGAATCATCAGTCAACTGAAGCATCTGTGACAGCGACAGCCGGCAAGGATGACGCAAAAGAGCGTGACGACGCGAGGGAGAGTGAGCCAGGAGAGAATGAGGTGCGGAAGAGTGCGACAACGACGGACGACACTTACGCGGGAACGCGCGACGGGGCGACGCCCGTCGAGGAGCCAGCGTGCACGGCGGCGACGGCCGCCCCGCTCGGCCCCGTCGCGCCCTGGACGTCCGGTTACAAGGGCAGCAGTCGCTGGGACAAGGCAAACGCGCCACCGCCCACGCCTGTCGAGACGCCGGCGCCGGCAGCGGACGACGCCTCGTGGTTGGCGGAGATCGAGGGCCAGCTGAGCGGGTGCGGTGCTGACGGGGAGGCCGCCGCGCAGGAGGAGGAGGAGGGGAAGAGGACGAGCGAGAAGCCTCACTTCGGCATGGAGCCGTGGGGCGCGGGCCGTCCCGGCCCCAGCTGGCTGGAGGAACTCGAGGGCCAGATCACCGTTGCCGACATCGACCTCGTCGCGAACCTCGAGAAGTTGTCCGAAAAACCCGCCGCGTCCGAGAGCGCGCCGCCAGAGGGCGCCGCTGTGGACGAGCCGGTCGCCGTCGCCAAGTCGGTGCGGCCGCTCGGACCCACGGAGCCGTGGACATCGGGCATTGTCGGCCCGAGCCGCTTCGACGCGCCGCAGCCGGCAGGGAAGAAGCACATCCGTCAGATGAGTCCGTCGAGTTGTAAGCTGCTGACGGGCAAGAAGCTCGAGCCGGCCGCCGCGACGAAGGCGCCCTCTGTTGGCGGCTCGAGCTGCAGCACGGGGGCGCTGCGGTCGGAGTCGGAGCTGTCGCTGAGTCGCTCGGTCGCGTCGAGCAGCGACACGCTTGATGGCTTCGCGGGATCGCTGTCTTCCAGTACGACAAGCCTGCAGCAGCAGCAGCAGCAGACGGACGACGCCTGCGACATCGACCTGACCGTGAGGTCGGGCGGCGGCGGCGGCGGCGCACCGCGCACAAAGCCGGCGCTTCCCGCCACCAAGCCCATCGTCAAGGGGACTAGCGCACAGAGGGCCGCCAAGGACAGCTTCCGGAGGGCGGTGGGAACGTGCAAGGGTGGCGGCGAGGAGAGGCCCGGCGGGGGGAGCCGGAATCATTACGGAATGGCCATCATGAGGCCCGGCGGGGGGAGCCGGAATCATTACGGAATGGCCATCATGAGGCCCGGCGGGGGGAGCCGGAATCATTACGGAATGGCCATCATGAGGCCCGGCGGGGGGAGCCTGTCGCCACAGACGGACGCGGCGAGGTGTGGCGCCGGCGTGCCGTCGCGGTCGCCGGACGGCCTCGGTCGTCTGTCGCCCGGGTTCACCCCGCCGGGGTCGGGGCGCTCCAGCCCGCTGCCCCTGCTCCTGCACGAGGGACCCCCGCTCGAGGTGAAGCCACCATCGGGGCGGAAGAGTCCCATCACGATACGAAGCAAGCTCAGCAAGTCGCGCGGTAAACGACGTCCGCATGCAGCTGCATGTTGTGTTCGCGTCGACCACCAGACGGCGCTGCATGTGTTTCCCCGCGGCATGACGACAGCCGAACGAAGCCAGTGGGACGGCGCGCGCTGCATTTGCGCTGCCGCGTAGACTGCGAGTAGGCGTCGGCTCGTAAAACTAACCCGTGTGTTCGTAGTTGGCTAACCCCAATTGTCTTGCAGTGACGCTAACACTGATTGCAGCAGTCCGCGAAATACGGGCTGATCTCTCGTGCAGAATAAGTTTGGGACATCCGGGGAGTTAACCTAGGTGAGTTGTCTACAGTAGCTGATTATGTCGAAGCGTTAACACTGATTTATAGCGTGTTTCTTACTTTGTCTGTTAAGAGTGTTTCTGCTAGATGTGATACTATAACGATGTGGCTCTATTTATGTTTATGCTGTTGGCTCGTGGTGATGATTATTACATATCTCTAGTTATAAACTTGGTAGCAGCCACCAACAATCTCCTTTTTTCACCTGTGGAGCTGATAACATCATGGTGGGCATGCTGTTATCAGGAGTCAATGATCAATATTGATAGACTCCTACTGTTATCATGGTGACATGCAGGTAGGGCTTTTCACAAACTTGCTGCACTTGTTACATCCAGCAGCTACCATCTCTAGAGAATTCTCTAAGAAATAGAGGAGTAGACAACAGGTCGGAGTAAATCGAAGTAAGGATGACGAATCGTTCAATAATGCTGAACTTGTCATTTTTATTCGATCGTAATCGAATTTTTCTGTGTACTGCGACAGATGGCTTAGACCAGGTGGAGACGATGGTGTTCACACGTGCGCCACCAGAGGGCACTCCTCCACCTGAGCCAATCTCCGACCCAGCAGAAGACGGCACAGGTGGTACAGCTAGTGGAAACGACTTAAGTAATGTAGAACAGCATATCTGCACAGCTTGCAGCCTTTGTTCTTGCACCACTTTTCACCGAGCTGTCGCACAACTCACCCAATTACATGCGATCTAAATACGCCACCGTGTCCAACCACATGCACTCACATGACCTGCCAGACCACTCTCATGTCCGCATAAATGCAGTCTATGTCCATCAAATTATATTCTGACCACAAAATACATGAAATTTCTCCTCCATGCCCCCATGGTAATTGTGTAATGGTTCGATTTCTGTATAATGAGGATGTATTTGGGTGATCTGTGGCAGTGCCAAATTACTAACAGCATGACCTTCTGCAAATAGTTTTCCTTTTGGGTGTGCACACTGAAAACAGATCTATAAACAGCATGTGAACTAATATCTGAGACATGTATGTTTCTTGTTTCAGCTACACTGCATGCTTATTGCAACCAAGTCATTGCATGATGGCGTGATTGTGACCTAGTCATTTGCATGCGTTCGTTTTATAATCCAGTCATTGCACATGTTGCATGTGATTATTATAATGTTGTTCTGTTATTTTTGGTAATAGGAATTTCATAATGCTGTGTATATATACATAATTATCACTTATTTTGATTGGAGTCTATTTTCACACTGTCTGTTTGCACATGTGGCATGCAGGCCGCAGTACATGGTTGGAGGTTTAACATTCTGATTCTCAATAAAGCACTGACTACATTTTTTATAACACGGTTATCTTCTGTTTTATTGCTCGAGATGTTTATGGTGTTTGCATGTCGTGCTGGGATAACATTGCTTGTGAACTTATTCAGGTGGCACTAGCAGTATGTCGATTGGCTTAATCTATTCATTACAGCTGCGTGTAATAATCTTTTTTTCACTTAATTGTGTTATCAATTTTGACTTGTTTTATTTGCCTCTGGATAGACTTGTGTGTTCTGATCTGGATGTATAACATGTTGTGCCAGATTTAACTTTGTAATGTCACCTTATATAGAAAATAACGTGGAATGTCTTTACCGTGATGTCTCGTTGTCTTCATAATGTCGTAACCGGAACTAGTATTATCTAATTCTAATCCATCACGGTCTGTACTGTGTCCTATAGTATCTCTCATGCATTAACCAAGTGGTTTTAGATGCAGTCATCCTGAGACAACTTCGTCAACTCCGTTTGATTCATAAAAGGGTGGACACACTGCCTTGTTCTTCAACATGCTGGCCCTGGATGCCCATCATTGCATTTACGATAGTGTCGTTTGTAATACATGTGCTGTTCTGCTTTGCTGCAGAAGTGATTGGTGAGGTTCACATGGCTATGCCGCTCACGGAACAGCGTCTCTTAGATCTGATAGAGGAAGCCTACCCAAATGCCATCCATCTCACTGACATAGAGAGGTGCACACTAATCACTCATTGGTTGGGAACGGACCCAGAACCGATAACAATCGTTTCGTCCGATACATGTAGCAGCATAAGTCTAACGTTTTAAAATGCAGTTGCGCAATTCGGCGAAATTGTACTGCGTCTTAACTGTGGCGGTCGAATTTGACAGTGGTAGTTGGCATATTACCAAATATTCTAACTTTGTATATGACTTGTTCCGGCAGAGCCCTCTATGGGACAGATGAGAAGTATCGGGAGCTGTTATCTATACTACAGGACAGGAATGTCATTAGGCAGTTGGACAATGAGAGCTGGATCAGAGTGGTGACATATGATGCAGGTACTGATATCAATTATGCAACCTATAATAGGGTGTTACGTATGTGTACGCCTGTGTTAGGGCGTATTCATACACGTGTACGGCCACATCGAAATGCCCACGCCCACGCACGCACCCCCACCCACACACACACACACACACACACACACACACACACACACACACACACACACACAATATATATATGATCAGGGTTTGTGTTTGGTCTTGGTTTTTGATCTCTGATACGATATGTGACCCGCTCCAGCAAAACCAGGATTAAGTAGGAAATTCTACAAATTGAGTTATGTGCATATCTGAATAGATACTTTAATTACCTTTAAAATGATATAAAATATTTGGCTATATTTAAAGAATTGACCGATCTACAGCAATTTGAAGATCGGAAACCGACTTATTCCGGAATATGCAGCTTTTGAGATAAAGCGTTCCGGGTAAGGGGCCCAGTCGGGGATGAGCGGTGGTTTTTTTAAATTAAAAATGACCATAATAATCTAGAGATATCTGAACCTATATATCCGGATTAAATATGCACTTAGGAACTTATTTTTGTAAAAATCTCATTTTTGTCCAGGTAGGCCATTTTCAGCATATATATGTGTGCGTGCTCATTACTCAAAACAATGACTTGCGACTTAGTCCGTATTATGCTGGAGCGGGTCACATATATAGTTTCAAGAGCCCATTAACCCCAGAGCGTACAACGCTGAAATAGGAAAACCATGGTGTCGTTTCAGCAAAATTAATAAAGTTTACCTACCTTATTTTGATACTTCTTTACCGGAATATTATGCAGGAGTCATAGCTAGCCAATATAAGATCAACCGCTTGTTTCTACGACGGTCCTATGCCGAGATATAAAGCGATAAAAATCGAGTACTTCTAGGTAATCCTAGTGCCATATCACCCAGTAACAGGCCTCTTGCGCTTTTAGTGACTGCATAGATATATACAACGTGCTAACCATGTGTTGTATCACCATGTGTTGTATATATCTATTCAGTCACTAAACGCGCGAGAGGCGTGTTACTGGGTGATATGGCGCTAGGATTACCTAGATGTACTCGATTTTTATTGCTTTATATCTTGGCATAGGAACATATCGTAGAGACAAGCGGTTGATCTTATATTGGCTAGCTATGACTCTTGCATAATATTCCGGTAGAGAAGTATCAAAATAAGGTAGGTAAACTTTATTAATTTTGCCGAAACGACAACATGGTTTTCCTATTTCAGCATTGTACGCTCTGGGGTTAATGGGCTCTTGATAGTTTATAGTATGTGTGTCAGCATGGTTTTACCTTCCTCCTCTGCTACAGACATCCAGGTAGTGACTAACATGCCGAAAGTCGCAGCTGAAGAGCAGCCAACAGTTGCCATCATCACAGCCAGGTACTGCGAGAAGGTAGCAGTCGATGCGATGATGAAGAACCAGAAGACCTATGTCAAGTACAAAACGGAGGGTAAGTAGCGCCATCTACTGGTCGGAAACGTTAGCAATTGTTAATGTTCCGAGAACACGGTATCAGCATGAACATCACATGAATTCTCATAACACGAGGAGGTACATATGTTTGTGGTATCCCATAATAGTTAGACTCTGCATTACAGTCGGTTCTGAGGCTAACATCTACACGCTTGGAGAGATCGGCCATCGCCGCGTAGTGTCCACCAAACTGCCGGCCGTCGGTCTCCGCAGGACGGCGATGATAGCCGCCGGCAACATGACGACACGGCTGCTGGGTGAGTGGCTTCACTGTGAGCCGGTGTGCGGAGAAGCAGTCGCAGCCAACTATCCGCTCGTTGCAGGGCGATGTGATTCTCCTGTCTGTTTGGCACGCGTCAGGCCGTCGTGTTACGCAGCGACTATAATAGTGGCAGGTTCTATGGGGGGCAGGTAAGAAGGAAATGAGAGCAGAAGAGAGGCAGGGAAGAAGGGAGGGAGGCAGAGAAGAGGGAAAAGAGAACATAAGATAGGCAGGGAAGAAGGGAAGGAGAGCAGGATTGAGGCAGGAAAGAACTGAGGGAGAGCAGAATTGGGCAGGGAAGAAGGGAGATAGAGCAGAAAAGAGGCAAGGAAGAAGGGAGAGGGAGCATAAGAGAGGCAGGGAAGAAGGGAGAGAAAGCAGAAGAGAGGCAGGGAAGAAGGGAGATAGAGCAGAAAAGAGGCAAGGAAGAAGGGAGAGGGAGCAGAAGAGAGGCAGGGAAGAAGGGAGAGGGAGCAGAAGAGAGGCAGCGAGGAAGGGAGAGGGAGCAGAAGAGAGGCAGGGAAGAATGGAAGGAAAACGGGAGGCAGGCGTTGCTAAGCCTTGCTTTTACTACACCATCATATTGCAAATACTTAAAAGCTACACACTGTACCTAGGCTGGAGCACTCTACCCGGGCACATCCTGTTTAATGTCGTGTTTTTCCCATCATGACCCTGATTGTCTAGAGCGCGCTGTCAGTCACGCGGGGCGGATAGGCGAGTTTTTCCCATCATGACCCTAATTGCCTAGAGCGCGCTGTCAGTCACACAGGGCGGATAGGCGAGTTTTTCCCATCATGACCCTGATTGCCTAGAGCGCGCTGTCAGTCACGCGGGGCGGATAGGTGAGTTTTTCCCATCATGACCCTGATTGCCTAGAGCGCGCTGTCAGTCACGCGGGGTGGATAGGCGAGTTTTTCCCATCATGACCCTGATTGCCTAGAGCGTGCTGTCAGTCACATGGGGCGGATAGGTGAGTGTTTCACGTCGACTCTCTTGCAGGTACATTCCAACACATCGAGTACGTATTTCTCGTCGGAGCCATTGGCGGCGTCCCGCACTTCACCGACCATCGGAAGCACCTGCGTCGCGGCGACGTCGTCGTGTCAGTGCCAACTAAGCCTCACACGCCGATGTACATCTACTGCGAGAACGTGAGTCTCAACCATTGCAGCCGTGCGCCATCGTCTCCTAATTTTCCTCCTTGCCAATTAAGCATTTTAGGTTCTGCGCAGCACTGTCCTAATGCTTCGGCCATTGCCTTGCCTGTTGCTAGGAGCGACCGGACCAGGCAGCAGGATGCACAGACTGGGAGACACAGACCTGGTCACCGTCAGAGTTACGAATACAGATGGTTGCTGAGGCCCTCAAGGTATGGCCAGCCAGTCTCATCGCATATCACTGTCAATAAGACCCCTCACTTCTATTATGTCACATCTAACATAGGCTGAAGGATCGATGATACATAAAAGTGTGCACACATGCAAATATTCCACTAGCTAATCTTAAGTGTGTGTTTCTTGTGTTAGTACGTGTGCGTGCGTTCATGTGTGTATGTGTGTGTATCATGTGTGTTTTTTTTTACGAGAGCTCTTTTTTGATTTTGTACGAAAAAAAGAGCTCTCGTAATTTTTTTTACGGGAGCTATTTTAGGCTTGGTCAGAGCTACTTTTTCATAGTATGATTTTGTTAAAATTTTCATAATTTTGATGCACTGACTCTAATATCATTCATCAGCATTCAGCGCGCACTCGGCACCAGTATCAGACTATCAGTGTTAAGAAATCGTCAACAAATTACATTCGATCACGTTTTTTTTAATCTTATTTCACTCGACTAAGAAACCAATCACATTCTTATTCAATTTCATTCACACAGACAGACATGCACTACACAGTACACATAGTCAGGTAACATGACAAAGACAGGAAATCAAAAATTATAATCAGGGTAATGATGGTATGGTTATTTTCACAGCCACTTGGAACGTCTCAATAAAAAAAATTCATGGTAAATAAACACGAAATGTACCAAAGTCTTAATGTTTCTCTACTCTATTTTGCCTATAATCACCTGTAAATGCCGGTCAAATGCTCATCTGCAACACGCAAGTACACCGCACGCCCGCGCTGTGCACAAACAACATAAATAAGAGAGCAGGTAGGAAAGCGTGATCGCAAAAAAAGTGCTCTCCGTGAAAATGTAAAGAGGACAACATGATCTGAAAATCTCTAACGGCGCTACTTTCGATTGATTGCTGTAGTCGTGTGTGCGTGACGTCATGCCCGCGCGCATTGTGCTTGGCTTCGCGGGCCTCGAAATGGAGCTCGGAGGCCGGCAGCAGCTCATCCCGGCATGCAATGCGCCCCATTACTCGTGTATAAACAGACATCTCGTCCTCTTTACATTTTCACGGAGAGAACATTTCGTGCAGGATTTCACGAGATATCTCTGGTGGGAGTACGTAAGAACAAAAGCCATAGTTATAATTCTAACAAGTGAACATTTCTGTACACATGGATACCAAGATGGAAGCTGTTGGATGTGTATTTGTGCTGTGAAGGTGTGAAATGAAGCGAGCATCGAGCGAATTTTGCGATCACGCTTTCCTACCTGCTCTCTTATTTATGTTGTTTGTGCACAGCGCGGGCGTGCGGTGTACTTGCGTGTTGCAGATGAGCATTTGACCGGCATTTACAGGTGATTATAGGCAAAATAGAGTAGAGAAACATTAAGACTTTGGTACATTTCGTGTTTATTTACCATGAATTTTTTTTATTGAGACGTTCCAAGTGCCTGTGGTTATTTTCAAGTTTCTTTTTTTACTTCATTTCTTTTCATTTTTCAACTTTCTTTTTACATCGACTGAGCAAGTTTAGAACTTCAGAGAGAGTTTTTAGTTACTTTGAGTATGTTAAAAAAAACTTGTACTGGAATCTCTAGGAATGCCGGGAGCTTCTGGGCAAGGTTTTACTTTCGTTGTTCTCCTCCCCAGTCCACGGTACCCCCATGCATAGATCAATGCTGCCGCACATTCGCAAAGTGCCTAGAATCTTTAAGTATATACAGTTTACATTGCTTCTAGATATCTAACTGAATAAAAATAGTCCACTTTCTAGGTTAAGAAAAGTGACGAATTCAATTAACATTTTTGATTACGTGCGTGTCAGGTGTCACTGGTCGTGCCCTCACTCCCCCACGATCACTTGCGATCGCTCACGATCACTTGCTTGCGATCACTTGCGATCTTGGGTTGTGGTCGTGCTTACTGTTATGCGGTCATAAAAACACTGGGCTGCATTACATGCACCCGGCTGTTAGATGCGATATGATATGACTACTAGGCACTTAGGATATGACTACTAGGCACTTAAAAAAAAAAAAAACCCTAACCTAACCTAAACCCTAACCTTAACCCCGGCCATGGTGCAATCGATTTCTTAGACTGTCGCGAGTTTTTGTTCGTGTGGCGAATCATGCGTTGAGGGAGTTCATGCAGCTCTAGATGTTTTGGATACCCCGTCTACGTTGAGGAACGGGTCGTATTATGCGCTCCCGTTTACAAGTCTGTTTAAACTGCCGTTGCGCTAACCGTAGTATTTCAGCGTAATATGAGGGGAAAAAGTGCTGGTCAGGAGAACCGGGAGTTTCGTAGAGATGGTGGCCCGAGCAAAAACTTGGTGGGCTCGGGCCTCCAGGTCGGAACTAATTTCTAACGCTGCCGGCAGCACGGGAGCGATTTTCTCTCGTATCTTCCAAAATTTTCGCTCTTGTAATTGTTGTTACCAGAGCGCTTTGAAAGCTGACGGGAGCGAAATCGCTCGCCGCTCCCGTGTTTTTTTTCCGCTGGTGTGTACGTGTATCACAGGTGTGTCTGTGCATGTGTCCGTGTCTCTACGTAGGTATGTGTGTGTGCTTTGTATGCGTGCTCCGTGTGTGTATGCATACGTGTGTGTGTGTGTGTGTGTGTTACGTGTGTGTAAGCATGTGTTTGTATATATGTGTACCAAATTTTCACGTCTGTATGTGTGCTGCTAGTACATTCAGCCTACATCCACGTTCACGAATCCCACTCCACTCTGCAGCTTCAGGCAGAAACGAACCCGATTGACTGTCGCTGGTTGCGTTATCTCAGCGAAGGCCTGAAGAGTGTCAGAGGCCAGGAGACAAACTTCAAGCAGCCGTCGCTATCTGAGGACAAACTCTATATGATCATCGGCTCAGGCGAAATGGTGGAAGTGGAACATCCAGAGGTTCCATCGACATCTGCAGCAGCTGGCGATCACGTAATACTTGTTTTAAGGGGTAGCATCCATAGACATAGTCTCAGAGTTTTCTGTCAATGTAATACTTGGCATCTGTCAGCTGTGTAGTTTGTCGTAGCTGCCAGAGCCATATGTGTAATATAGAGGTGTTTTCTGGTCGGCACCCTCCTCAGAAAATCTCTCATTGAAAGAATGCCTGGCTTCTGTTCCTTCGTCTCTCTAATAGTTAACGTTGTGTTACGTAAAGCTGGCCTCGGACTTTTTCTCCCAACTTGAGAGCACGAGGAGGCATGGCATAACTGTGTAACTGCCAGTCGGCTCATTATATAAGATACAAAGGCACTCCAGGCTTTCTGTTTCCTTCATAAGAGTGAACTACGTTCGTAATGGTTGTTATGATACTCTATATCGAGATGGAAGCACGTGTAACGACGGACACGTCCGCCTTCATAATCACATGCAATAACTCATTAGCATAGCAAAATCTCCTGTACTTCGTAAAACTCCATTATTGACGGACATAACGCCTGTGTAACAAACGTACGTAATAAACTCCGTAATGAGGTGTAAAAACGAACGCGCATAGTGTGTATAAGTGTATATATGCGGTGACTATAAATGTCGTACGCCCGTTCTCTGACCCGCAGGAGCGCCACCTGCCGGCCATCCACCTCGGGCAGATAGCGTCCGGCAGCAGCGTGTTCAACAACGACGTGACGCGGCACACGTTCGCCGCGACGGCCGGCGTCGTCGCGTTCGACGAGGACTTTGACTCGGTCATCGAGGCGACGTACGGCAGCCGCATAGACAACTACGCGTTCGTGAAGGGCGTCGCCGACTATGCGGACGGCAGCCAGGGCAAGGCGTGGCAGCCGTACGCCTCGATGGTGGCCGCGGCCTTCATGAAGGACATCGTGCAGCGGCTCCCACACGCCGTCGACACAGAGGTCTGAGTCGCGCCGAGCGCAAGAGGTCGCGGGTCTACTGCGTGGGCTTCCTACAGGGGGAGCCACCAGGTTGTTACACTACAGGGTGAGCCAGCAGGTTGTTACCCTACAGGGGGAGCCACCAGGTTGTTACCCTACAGGGGGAGCCATCATGTTGTTACACTACAGGGGGAGCCACCAGGTTGGTACACTACGGGCGGAGGCACCAGGTTGTTACCCTGCAGGGGGAGCCACCAGGTAGTTACACTACATCCACCAGGTTGGTACACTACGGGCGGAGGCACCAGGTTGTTACCCTGCAGGGGGAGCCACCAGGTAGTTACACTACAGGGGGAGCCACCAGGTTGTTACACTACAGGGGGAGGCACCAGTTAGTCACGTTTCCTTTCACGTTCTGCAGTGAGATGCATGGTTAACTGCGGTTGTCCCTGATGTGTTGCATATCGTGTAAGAGTGGGCTTGAGAAATGAACTAGGAGTGGTTGTGTGAGGGAGCATGGGGCTTTTGCTAAAGAATTTATGACTTATGATGGCAGAGTGGGAGGTGATTATTACACAAACTGTCATTGCCTAAAATGACAAATAATTTTATTCACGTAATATGCACAATGTTGCACAGGACACCTTAATTTCCGCCTGATCGATTAATCGCCACCGAGATTCTTGATTGAGTGTGCAGACAAATATAAGAACATCTATGAATTTTAGTTAGGAACATCAATGACTTATGTTCAATGCACAGGGGGCATGAAGCAGAAATGTGATCTTAACTGAAGCATTACAGTCAGTCTCGCCTATAGTAAATACTAGTACAGGTTTTCAAAGACAAGTAGTAGGCTTCTGTGTAAATTACCTTGCATGTACCATGCTATGGAAGCTAGCACTCTGAGACTATTGTAGGTACCGAAATAAATCTAAGGCAGCGGTTCTTAACTTTTTTTGAGTCATGGACGCCTTTGAGAATCTGGTGAAAGCTATAGACACCTCCCCAGAAAAATAGCACATAAGCACATAAACACGGAATTTTGCATACAATGGGTGAATGGGGTACACGGATTCCCTGAAGCCCATCCACAGATGCCAAAGGGGTCCATGGACCACAGGTTAGGAATCCTTGATCTAAGGTCTTGCGCTGTGTCTACTAAGTCGAGTGATACATTGCAACATTAACCCATAGATGTATAGGTTGATGGGAATTATCAAGTACATGGACAAAATCCAATTTTCCATGAATATTTGTGAGGTTGGCTCTATGTGTCTGATACGGCCGATAAATCAACAGTTTTAGTGTTGATAATTCACCCGTCTTTTCCAATCATGAATAGCATGGAAACCGATGAGGTGGAGTCATCTGATGGCCTAAAAAGGAAACGTAATCACATACAAAACATGATGGTCCATGCAGACCACCTCCTTGCTACATAGTAGCGTACAGCTTGAATTTTACGTACGAGTGTGTGCCAGATCGCTAATGGCAGCTTTTTTATGCAAGTTATAAGAAATGTGTTAATCTTGTTTCAAGGTGAGACATGTCGTGAGAAAAACCAATATATTTGTTGTAATTTATTGATAATTTGCCCTATCGGAGGAGCCACTGCCATTTCTTTCTCGTGCATTTTTAGTGCTATATATTGAATTCTAGTATGTCTCAGGGGAGAGATAGTGAATATAGAAATAAGTTGTGGATATAGAAATCAGTTAACCCTAACTCTAACCACAATTCTAAAATAAAACAAAATTAGCCCAAAATAAATAAGAGACAAAATTAGACAATCAGAGCCGTCCCCTAGCGGATCACCATCTCTCCCGGTGCAAAATTCATTGAATTCATGCTGCTTCTCTATACTGTTCGGGTGAAGGTAAATAAACATGATGAAATGATGATCATCTAAGTAGTGTGCAGCATTTAGAAACAATTTTCACTGTAATGTTGGTGTTTAATACGTACGGGCAAATGTTGATTAGCATGCTGAAATATATCTTTCAAAACAACACATTCAACAGTTGTATTTGTTTGCTCTCAATTCGATCCCTAGTTTTATTACACATATTAAAACAGCAGGATGCGGTCCTAATGTCCTATCATTATAACACGTGTACAAAGACGTTGCTCGTACAGTAATCATTGTTTAATACAGAATTAAAATTTGTATGACGTTACATTCTTACGGACACTAATTACTGGAAATTTCCAAATTGAAATTGTTTGCACTTTTTAAAACGACAAAATAGAAAATAGATACCAGCTGTTCACAACTACACATACACTAACAACTACCTTGCTTGGTGTGCAAACTTCTTGTATTTTACACACATTTATCATCTAAATTCTACATCCAACTGCTGCAGCACTTCAACATGACATCATAACATTACAACACAACATGCTATAATATCAACATCTGACCAATAACATTGTATGCATGGCTTGTACAGGTACACAAGACCGTTCACTATTTTTCCTATGAAATTTGATACTGGCATACTACATAGATTTAATTAAGCAAATTGATAAGCCAACTCGAATTCGCTAACTGTTGAACAGCCAAGCCAAGCCGTTACCACGTGTGGAAATGCACACAAAGTTCTGTGTAAAGAAAGGAGTAAAAACATTGTAAAGGCAATGCAGACAACAGATGGAAACCAATGGCTTCATCTTACTTTAGCTAACAAATGGCATTTAATTGTTCTTCTCTGACAACACTTGCACAACAGCAGTACATAAGCAGAATAGATGACAGATAACTTTTCCATTGAAATTTCAGAATCAGAATAGTTCAATACCACATAAGTGACCCCCCATTCAGGGAAACACTGGGTATACATGGCTAGACATTTATGGTAAAAAAATACCTACAAGATAGGCATTCTATTAAGCCAATTTACAGACGGGGAACCAATGCCCATTAAAAGAACCACATATGGCACACACGAGTCATCCACTTGGAGAATACTTATATTTACAAACGTGTACAAAACCATATTCACGATTTCAAACCCAATTACGGTCTTCCCTTAGCGCGATTCGGCTTGCTCTATCGTTTCCATGGTCGAAGTTACGCCTTGGTTTTGTCTTCATCGTCATTCGTGTGCCAAGTCAATCTTTCCTCATAGAATTTTATAACAACCTGGGGGCATTTGATGTTTGCTTGCCGTGCTGGAACCAGATCTGCCTCGTCACTGCCCTTCCTGTAATATGCGCACAAGACACGCCACATTTTACGTGCCTGCTTGGGTAACCTCTTTCTTGAGATTAAATGCAACATTTCCAACTTTTTACCCACAGAACGATAGCACCTGGGTTTTATATAAGACGTTGGCAACAGTGACAGTTTATCAACTTGTAGAGAAAGTGGCTTATCATTATTTCCCACGACGTGTCACAGCACTCATAATAGCAGTGGACTAAGCACCCGCAGCATAGATTGCGAGTAGGCACGTTTTCAGTTTGTTTTTGTTCAGAGCCGATGAAAATCTACTCACCACTTCATCAGAAACATCAGCTCTCCGCTGGAATCAGTTGCGCCGATAATGCGCTCAGGTTGGAGGCCTCTTGCGAAGCCCCTTGGCTTCGAAGAGTCCTCCTCCTATAACAAGACGAACGGTCGATTACAACATGATGTACATATAAAGAGAATTCACGATCAACCAAGCTGACGAGAGAGCAATACAAGTTCTGACACACGTGCTGCCGTAAAAGTAGCTGGCAGAACATAAATGCCAGCCATACAGAGGTGTACACTAATCTAGCTTCAAGCACTATTTAGTTAGGCTTGGGATTATTAATCTTATACATCAGTTTCCACTAATTGATGCATAATTCACCCATATATTAATGCAAAACAAGGATAACAATGTTTTAAAGACTATGTTAGCGAAACAACTACCGTATATGATCGCGTAATAACCGCGGGTGCCTATAAGCCGCACCTCAATTTGAATCGGGTAACCAAGTATTAGGCCTAGTATATTTCCCCTCACGGTATGGCGCACTTATAAACCGTAGAGGAAATACAGGGTTGAAATCTAAGGCCATTATTACGGGAGTATATACGGTACTTTTACAGATTTTCTCTCAATGTAGACTGCAGCAATACGACATCAACAAGGATTACTCCCCACCTCCATCTTCTTCTTCTTTGCCTTCAACTTGTCGCCGTCATCAGAGGTCTTCCGTTTTTTGTCCTTATCCTTTTCCTTTTCTTTTTTTTCTTTCAGCTTTCGTTCAAATTCTTTCATCAAATCTTCACAGTCTAGATTCGCTTCAGGCTCCCATGTGTCATCTTCACTGTTTCGACAAATTTTAAGAAATCTCATGTAATTTATCATTTATACGAGTATCACACACCCTTTAAATACTAGCCAAATCAAACTCTGTGAACATAGACGTGCACCGGAAATACTGTGTCGGGCAGTAGCTAGGCAAAGGAGTACCAGTAAAATTTGAAGTAAAGAACTGTGAAAGTTCATGAAATGGCATGAAAATGTCAGCCATTGAAAGCATTAATTAATCAATATATACCATGCAGATGACTAGCCTCTTTAACATTCATCTACCAGTTGGTGTTAAGTTGCTGAACACTTCAATGGGGAACGAGTGTCGGTTTAAACCGGTAATCTACATCGTTTGTGTGGCCCAAAGTTCAACAGCTCTCCTAAATGAGAAATTACATAGTGATGTCCCTATAAAGCTGATGAGGACTAAGCAATCTACCTTTCTTTGTGTCATCTGGTTGTGCAGAGGTTCTTAGTTCTTCTAATTTTGAGAACTTACACTAAAACTACATAGAACATATCTTGCTGCTGTGAGACAACCCAAAGAGATACTGCTATCACATACATGTAGATCCTACACAGAGTGCTACCCCGAGTCACCTGCACATGTCATCCCAGCATCCTAAAAATGTCTACACTTTGAAAGCCAGTGAATGTGTAAACGTAGTACTTTCCACTTCACGCTGTATGGTATATGCATGACAAGCGTGCATGAATTGCTGTACAGCCAGGTAATGAGGTGCAGGGTTCTCCCCAGGATGAAATTCAAACAGGGGGGAGGGGAGGGGATGGGAAGGGGGAAGGGGTGGGGAAAACTAGGGGGCGTTTTTTACCGCACCACTAATTAATGCGTAAAATCGGCCACCACACCATAGACGGTATTTGGGAGTTCTTGTATATATAAGATAGCCGAGTCGGTGTTACAGTTAGTGTTGGCGTGTGGGACAGGTTGACTTTTGTACTTGTATTGTCTGCAGTGCATGCGTGGTACTGTAAAAATACACGCGCCGGGTGTCCTGGTCGAAATGGTACTTCTGACGATCGATTCCCGCCCGCCTGGCAACTTTTATTGTGGTGAATTTAATCGGGGCGGAGGTAATTTAAAGGGGCGCAACAATTGAAACAGGGGAGTTTCCCAACGGGCGCGTGCGCCCCGTTTCCGCAACGTTAGGAGAGCCGCTGAGGTGAGGAGGAGGATAATGAAGCACCCCCCCATAACCCCCCCCAAGCCACCTAAGCCATTCCCATAAGCTTCTCAGTCTTCTCAAGAGGTTGAGATATTGTTATTTGACTCGAGTTGCAAGCCAATCCAGTGTTGGTTAAACAGCACAGTTAGGAGTGTCGAGCACACATCTGGTGTGGCCTAAACCTGCACCAGCATCTGACACACTATGACATTGAGAGTATGTTTTATTAGTCAACTGCCAAGTATCACGAATTTAATATTATCTCATGCTCTCACATCGAGAAACAGATATATCACACATTTCAGAAGTAGAACTAGGAATAAAAGTTATCAGCCAAGTAATGCTCACTGGCGAACGTAATTTTTTGTGCCCACATTTATTTAAGGAATACGCTTATAATATGGCAATCAGGCCAAAAAATGAAAGATATAAAACCCATATGAACTGGATTTAACTTGAATAATTAAATAATCAACTAGTATTAATTTGTAAATAATATATAATGCTATCTTGCTTACTCTCATAGTTTTTTCCATTTGATGAAGTACTCTATCTTTCCACCGCCGTATGCGCTTTCAAGAATCTTCTCGACCTCGTATTCTTCCTCTTGTTCTTCATCTGCATCAACATTACACGCCTTCTCCTGGCGAGTGCTGCATCCTTATCAGAGTCTTTGTTTTCGGCATAGTAAACTAGTACGAGTAGGCTACCTATGATTGATATTGATCACGATATTCAAGAAGCACATATGAACGATACAACTCGGCAGCTATATATTATGCCAATCGCCAAAACAAACGATACAATGTAGTGAAATAGAATCTATAATGACACTAACAAGAAACTTTATACTGAGCACTGTCAGCCAGCAAAACGCGATCGTTACCATCACAATCAAAAAAACAAATGTACAAGTAGGCCTACATGTAGGCCTACGAGATAACATGAAATGTATCTTACCGGCGCGCGCATATCAACAAATTTTACAAAAAAGAAAGTGCGTCGCCGCTAAATAGTTACAAGAAACGTTAAAAAATAAAACCGGACTATCAAAGTGATGCATATTAACGGTGTTTAAACCTCCCCTCCCCCCCCCCCCCCCCCCCCCCCCCCCCCCCCCCCCCCCCCCCCCCACCCCCCCCCCCCCCGTTAATGACGATGAATGAGAAGAGGACGAAGAAGACTTCTTTGTCATCCCCTTCTGAAAGCGTCGAGGCATGTAGTACGAAGATGAATATTTTTTCGCGCGATTACTTCGGCAAATTCCGTCGGCAGCGGAAGAACAAATATGTTGACGAATGCAATTTTGCAAGAAATTTTACATAGTTTAGGCCGACAATGCATTTTCTAGAGTATTACTATATTTCTAAGAATAAATATGCCATGAAATTATGGCTATCTCTATCTTCGTTTATAGTGATATTGAACAAATGTAACTCGGTTGTTCGCGCTACTGCGCCCTCCCACCTAGGACTGGTACTCGCCCTCCCACGTGATTACTCGATAGCCGTGGATACTAGAGCCGATAGGTGGCACTGGTACAGTCTCCAGTTCGGTCGGCATTGTTTTTCATGTTGCAAAGTAATGATCGGCTTACGTACATGACGTCACGCAGAACTCGGCTGAATGCATACAGCCACTGATGCTCATAAGCGTTCTAGCTTAGATACAAATATCCGCATATCTTTTAGATATTTAGAAGTTTTCGGGTATTTAGAAAAATCTGGATATGTTAGAGATAAAACACAATTTTCTCAAATATTAAGATTTGTAGAATGAGTTTGTCTTTTTCTGTATAATTTTTAATTTTATTATTATTTTCAATTTTTTTTGAATTTTATTAATATTAATTCTGTATTGCCGATTTTTTCGCCATCAAAATAAAATATGTTAAAGACAGTTACGTTGAATTACGGATATTTAGAAAAAATTTGGGCGATATTTATAAAAATTGCGAGATAATTAGAGCATTTTTGGAGCATATTTCGGAAAGGAGTATTTAAGGCCATTTTTCGGGAGGAGATATTTGTATCTAAGCCTAAGCGCGTTTCACCACAAGAAAAACCGCGCTGTCAGCCGCTAATAGCGGAGATAATAGTGAGCTAATAGTAATAGTGTCGTGTTCACACAGGCGAATATCTCGCTAATCGCTGCGCTGCAATATAAATGAGCTGATTCCAAAAATTAGCCAGTCGGAAGTGGTCTAGGAGCCGGCTATTTGGGAGCGACCGATTTAGAATGAGCTAATTGCGTTCACACTTGTAAAAGCACTCAGTTTTCTGAGCGAGCCTTACAAAACCGGGTTTTTGCAGCCCGCTAATTCGCGCCATGTGACGCACCGTATGTCACCAGGGTACTGCCGGAACGTACCCTGGTTATGCGCTCGAGTAGATGTCCGTATACTTGGACGTACCCTGGTCCTATTGATATGTTTAGAGTTAGATTTAGGGTTAGGGGTTAGGGTTAGGATTAGGTTAGGGAGTAGGCGTTGGCGGACTCCCTAGACTCGTTAGAGGAGTAGGCCGAGGTACGGTCCGTCATATTAGATAGTAACCAGGGTACCCTTTCGTTTTCCGGACCGTACCCAGGGGTTACGCTCCGGCAGTACCCCGGGGGACATAGACCCTCTCAGCCCCACTGATCTCTATAATATAATCTATTATATTATATTATAGATTATATTATATTATAGAGATCAGTGATACAGCCTGCTGATGCGTGCTACACCCTACTCCCTAACCCTAACCCTATAACCATAACCCTAACCCTAACCCTAATTAAATTTAATTAACACTAATAAATTTAATTTAATTAAAAAATAATAATGTAATGAAAAATTGTAAATAAATCATGTAAATATTTGCGTTAATTGGGAAAAAATAGTTAAATGGATAAAGATAGAAAAATAGAAAAATAAAAAAAATAAACAGATGGGATTCGAACCAACGACCATCACATGTAACGGCCGCCGGCGTACGCGCCGTACGCGACTGACGTCACACTGACATCACGACCATACTTTGCGCAGAGCCGTATTTGCGTGCGTACGTTGGGGTGCACGGCCTACATGCAGTGTTTATCTCTGTGGAGGGTACAGGGGGCAGGGAGTGGGAGGAGCGAGGCCAGTGGGCGGGAGGATATATATATATATACGTATTATCAAAATACGCGTGAAAGAGAAAAAGAGAGAGCGAGAGAGAGAGAAAGAGAGAGAGAGAGAGAGAGAGAGAGAGAGAGAGAGAGAGAGAGAGAGAGCAGTTCATAATATCAAAAGCAGTTCAGTCCTTTGTTAACAGTCAACAAATTCATGTTTAACCCTCCTCTTGAGGGTCAAAAGGTTATCAGACACTTACTCTTCGCACGTCAGCGGAAAGTAGCTTTCATGGTCGTTTCATTAAAGTGATAAAAACGGTAGGTCAGCTCAGCGCTGAAACAAAAAAGTTTTGCACTCGGTCCGTTAGACCATGTCCTCAGAAAATGTCTGATATCTAACCTTTCCCCCACTGCCCTTTGACCTGTGACCTCCAATTTCGCACTGGTGATGGGTTTCCTCCCCATCACACTATACGTCGAATATTAAGAGTGTCGGCCGAGTCGTTGAGATTTGTGCCGCAATTCCGTATTTCCTCCTATACCTTAAGTTATGGGGGAAATATTCCCCCTTCATTGACACATCTCGACCTTTGACCTTTGACCCTCCAATTCGACATCTCGAGTCCTTTTTGCGATCCCCCCCGGCGTCCAGAATATCAAGACCGTACGTCGAGCGGTTAAGATTTGTGCCCAACTGTTGACGGACGGACGGACGCACGGATGCACGGACAATCATGCGATTCTACAAGTAAAGCTGCATCCGACTTCGTCAGCTGAGCTAAAAACAATCGATTTAACGTCTTTTTCAGCTATCGAAGGGCATGGCCGCGGCCGGTAGAATCCTAGAGAATTTCCTATCTGGCATACCCCTGCCAATGTGATCAATCAGATCATTGATGATCGTTAGCGCGCGGAAATCAGCTATTCATATGTTTATATCATACGCCCTGCCCAAGTCTGTAAGACCCGCCGACGAAAATTATCACTGTACCATGCAGGGCTGGCAACACCAACCAGCGACATGAGCGCCATTCCCCATGTACATTGGCATAGGGAGAGGGTTGAGGCGGAATGCAGTGGCGTATCCAGAAATGGATAAACGGGGGCGAAATGTACCTGGTCTCCTGAAGGCATCCCTGCGTGCCGCAGGCACGCCAGCGCTAGGGGGTCTGGGGCATGCTTTCCCATGAAATTTTGAAATATTTAAGCAATTTTCCTGCAATCCTAGGCATACTGCGGGCCATATTCTGATGTCTCGACCCTAGACTCAACCCTACAATTTAGGATTGAAAACACTTTTCATGACTTTCCAGAGAGTGTATACACACCTGAGGTTACGTTACTATGGTAATAATACAGATAAGAATTGCAACATAAGATAACGTAATAAGTGCTTTAACATGTTTAATGGCACTAAAAATAAAACACTTTGATCATGTTGGTGATTAGCTCGGATTGGTACACAGGTCAGGGTAAGAAGTCGGTGTGGCAATTAGGCCTACTAATAATTGCCACTGAGGTGTTCAGGTCATGATTGTGTACGTGTTCGGGATAATGTTTTTCGGGGTTTGCCAGTAGCAACCTTCGAGGCTTCTTTCTGATGAAGATGTTGACCACCGTATCCATTTGCAAAGGAGGATCCATTGTGGAGGAACAGAAGCAGGAGGGCGTTCAGTCAGCTCACACCCAATCTGTTGCATCTGTCTGTCCTCACAAATTTGAGAGCAGAGTTTGCCCTTTCCACGGAAGCTGATGTCACAGGTATGAGCTGAAAGAGATGGAGGGATGTGGTGACATTGGGGAAGGTTTGCATGGATGCCCGTGGATCTTTCAGTGCCCCACGGAGTGTCTGCTGTACTTCCAGACGACCACTTGCAGCTGATTTATATCAGAGTTTTCCACATATAGTGACCTGGTGAAATGTGCTTGGCCTGGGTAAGGTCCCTTTGGAAGAAACTGAAGATGGTGTTCTCCATTTCTGGGGTAAAGTTTTCCACCTGGCATGGCAGCAGACAGAGACCCATGGCAGCCGCTTTGTTGACAGCAGTGAACCGGGACTTCATCTCTTGGGAATAAAGGTTGTTCGCCTGTAGTACTCCTCAGCCGTTGCTGCCTCCACATTCTCACACAGAGTATGTCGTCTGCAAGTGCGTGGTTTCTCAATGGGTGTTTGGGTTATACAAGAGCTTTTTTCTCTGCTTGCTGGAAGACTATAGCTCAAAGACTGTCTCTGATCTGTCCCTTTCACACTGCAGCGTTTGGATTATCAGATCAACATGCTGGAAGGCATCCAGTACATCCATAGTAGATGCTTGCAGCAGGAGGCTGAGCTGCTTGGTGAAACCAAACACGTACTTCACTGACTCAAATCCTACCAAGAAGTCACTGGAGCATATGGTCTTGAGAAGACCGAATGCCTCTGCAACCACCTTGGACTCCCAGCGACTCTCTGACTTTGAAGGCGTGACAATGTTGCACGAGACACTAGACGATGCCCGGGTAATCTACGTGATTTAATTTACGACGTCGTAGTAGGCCTACTAATGACTAGTCTACATGACGTACGTTACCCCTGAAGACCCACTGCTACTAAAAAGTTGTTGTTTTTTAAGTTTTATTGATTTTTTTCTTGGCCTGCAAACGGGGGGGATGGCGTACGCTGGCTCCGCCTTATGCTGGATACACCACTGGAATTATGCTGCGGCCGTAGTGCAATTTTTAGATCGGGTGTTTGCATGCACATCTCCCTAAGCATCCACCTGCCGATTTGCGGGTAGGGTCGACAGAAGAAAATTTTATTGGCTGGCAATAGTGACCAGCAACGCGAGCAATATTCCCCATGTACATTACGATTAGGGAGCGTGTGGCAGGATGCTGCGACTGAAGTGAAATATTTAGACAAGAATTCGCCATGTACAACTTTTTCGGGCATATCTCTACTCCCGCATAAGTTCGGCTGGCAGAAATTAAATTATCTTGGTTGGCAACAGCGACTATAGAGATGGGAACCTTGACTGTCAGTATATATATATACAGACCCGTAGCCAGCTTTATATTGTGGGGGGGTTCGTTTTTCAATGTTGGCAATTTGCTCGGCAGGAGCGTGTACAGGATTTGCACCAAGGGGGGGTCTAACCGTAACCGAAAGTTGCGAGCATGCGAAGGGGGGGTCTGGGGGAGGGCCCCTTTCTTGACGATCGATTCCCGCGCTGGCAAACTTTTATTGTGGTGGAATTTAATCGGGGCGGAGGTAATTTAAAAGGGGCGCAACAATTGAAACAGGGGGGAGTTTTCCCAAACGGGGCGCGTGCGCCCCGTTTCCGCAACGTAGGGAGAGCCATGAGGTGAGAGGAGGATAATGAGCCACCCCCCCATAACCCCCCCCCAAGCCACCTAAGCCATTCCCATAAGCTTCTCAGTCTTCTCAGAGGTTGAGATATTGTTATTTGACTCGAGTGGCAAGCCAATCCAGTGTTTGGTGAAACAGCACAGTAGGAGTGTCGAGCACACATCTGGTGGTGGCCTAACCCTGCACCCAGCATCTGCACACTATGACATTGAGAGTATGTTTTATTAGTCAACTGCCAAGTATCACGAATTTAGATATTATCTCATGCTCTCACATCGAGAAACAGATATATCACACATTTCAGAAGTAGAACTAGGAATAAAAGTTATCAGCCAAATAATGCTCACTGGCCGAACGTGAATTTTTTGTGCCCACATTTATTTAAGGAATACGCTTATAATATGGCAATCAGGCAAAAAAATGAAAGATATAAAACCCATATGAACTTGATTAACTTGAATAATTAAATAATCAACTAGTATTAATTTTAAATAATATATAATGCTATCTTTGCTTACTCTCCATAGTTTTTCCATTTGATGAAGTACTCTATCTTTCCACCGCGTATGCGCTTGTCAAGAATCTTCTCGACCTCGTATTCTTCCTCTTGTTCTTCATCTGCATCAACATTACCGCCTTCTCCTGCGAGTGCTGCATCCTTATCAGAGTCCTTTGTTTTCGGCATAGTAAACTAGTACGAGTAGGCTACCTATGATTGATATGATCGATATTCAAGAAGCAACATATGAACGATACAACTCGGCAGCTATATATATGCCAACTCGCAAAACAAACGATACAATTGTAGTGAAATAGAATCTATAATGACACTAACAAGAAACTTTATACTGAGCACTGTCAGCAGCAAAACGCGATCGTTACCATCACATCAAACAAAAACAAATGTACAAGTAGGCCTACATGTAGGCCTACGAGATAACATGAAATGTATCTTACCGGCGCCGCGCATATCAACAAATTTTACAAAAAAGAAAGTGCGTCGCCGCTAAATAGTTACAAGAAACGTTAAAAAATAAAACCGGACTATCAAAGTGATGCATATAAACGGTGTTAATACTCACGTTAAATGACGATGAATGAGAAAGAGACGAAAGACTTCTTTGTCACTGCTTCTGAAATCGTCGAGCATGTAGTAACCGAAGATGAAATATTTTTCGCGCGATTACTTCGGCAAATTCCGTCGGCAGCGGAAGAACAAAATATGTTGACGAATGCAATTTTGCCAATAAATTTTACATAGTTTAGGCGAACAATGCATTTCTAGAGTATTACTATATTTCTAAGAATAAATATGCATGAAATTATGGCTATCTCTATCTTCGTTTATAGTGATTATTGAACAAATGTAACTCGGTTGTTCGCGCCTACTCGCTCCCACCTAGACTGGTACTCGCTCCCACGTTGATTACTCGATAGGTGGTACTAAGCCGATAGGTGGCACTGGGTACCAGTCTACCAGTTCGGTCGGCATATGTTTTCATGTTGCAAAGTATGATCGTGACGTACACTGACGTCACGCACGAACTCGGCTGAATGCATACAGCCCACACAGCCCACTGATGCTCATAGGGTCTATAGGCGCGTTCTAGGCTTAGATACAAATATCCCGATATCTTTTTAGATATTTAGAAGTTTTCGGGATATTTAGAAAAATCTGGATATTTAGAAAAATTCCTTAATATTTAGAAGATAAAACACAATTTTCTCAAATATTAAGGATTTGTAAGAATGAGTTTGTCTTTTTCTGTATAAATTTTTTTAATTTATATTATTTCAATTTTTTTTATGAATTTTATTAAATATAATTCTGTATTGCGATTTTTTCGCACAAAATAAATATGTTTAAAAGACATTACGTTGAAATTACCGAGATATTTAGAAAAAATTTGGGGATATTTAGAAAAAAAATTGAGATATTTAGAGATTTTTTGGAGATATTTCGGAAGGATATTTAGGCCATTTTTCGAGATATTTGTATCTAAGCCTAGCGCGTTCACACACAAGAAAAAACCGCGCTGCTCAGCCCGCTAATAGCGGAGATAATAGTGAGCTAATAGTAATAGTGTCGTTGTTCACACAGGCGAATATCTCGCTAATCGCTGCGGTGCAAATAAATGAGCTGATTCCAAATTAGCCCAGTCGGAAGTGGTCTTAGGAGCGCGCTATTTGGAGCGCGATTTAGTGAGCTAATTGCGTTCACACTTGTAAAAAGCTCAGTTTTTCGAGCGAGCTACAAAAACCGGGTTTTGCAGCCCGCTAATTCGCGCCAGTGTGAACGCACCGTATGTCACCCAGGGTACTGCCGGAACGTACCCTGGTTATGGTCCGGTTAGAGGTCCGGTATACTGGAACGTACCCTGGTCACTATTTGATATGGTTAGAGTTAGGATTAGGGTTAGGGTTAGGGTTAGGATTAGGGTTAGGGAGTAGGCGTAGGCGACTCCCTAGACTCGTTAGAGGAGTAGGCGAGGTACGGTCCGGCATATTAGATAGTACCAGGGTACGTTCCGGTATACCGGAACGTACCCTTTGTAAAGACTGACATCAAATTAGGAAAAAAAATAAAGAATAACCCCAGATGTCACGACTCACATAGGCTCACAGCCATGATTAATGTGAAGCATGTATGAGGCGAGACGCTTACCATTAGGAGCCGTTCCCACTCTTTAATGGTCAGTTAATATCGTGATATAAAAGATACCACAAGGGGGTTAGATAATGAAATCAGGATATCAAGGTGGGGGGTTAGATATTAAACAAATAGGATTATCAATGGGATATGAGTCGGCGGGCTTCAGTCATTTGAGTCTGATGCAACGCGAGCTGAAAGGAAGGCTTATGTTTCGTTTCTCATTGCGGCTTTGCTGCCCAGATCAACGAAATACAGAGCAGGGGCATGTTCGGCTGTCGTTTCGCTCGCAGGACTTCGCTAACTTCGCCTGGTGCGAGCAAGCACAATTCGCCCCCGTTAACGAAAGAGTCAATGTGTGTGCGTGTGCGTGCGCTAATTGTTATACCGTATACTCACGGCGGCCGTTTTAGTGTGGCCAATTTCCCGGATCTAAACAAATGGCAGCCGAGAAACGCATGTAACACTTGTCTGTCTACGTACCGTCACGATAACGTCTTAAATGACACTAGGCGTGTTCACACAGCAACAAGAAAACGCGCGATGCGAATCGCGATGGATACCGAGATAATTGTGCCCTTGTTCACCAGGCGAAGCGAAATATCTCACTAATCGCCGAGGGCTCCTTAGATCGAACTGTGCATGCCTGATATCAAGCCGGAATATAACCCTTCCGGTCGCGCTCGCGCGAATTATGTACTACCGGGATTCGAGTTCGGTGTTCAATTCCACGTACACGGCAGTGCAGTCGTTGGTAGTAGTCTAGCACTGTTACGTTAACGTATGCTACTCTAGCTCTGTTACGTTAACGTATGCTACTCTACGTCTGCACGTATTTACGTAAACACATCGTATGATGGGATAGAAAATATCGGGATTATTTGCGCGAGCGTTCACACACACGCCGCGGTGCAATTAATCGCGCTAATTCCCAAATAATCGCAGTCTAAAGTGCGATTTGCAGCGCGGTGCTGATCGCGATACGTAGTGAGATTTTTGCGTTCACACTTGTAAAAATCTCGAGGTTTCGATCGCGATGCAAAAACCGAGATTTGCATCCCGCTAATTCCCGCCAGTGTGAACGCGCCTAATGAAATAGGTAAGGTCGTTAGGAAGATATATGAGTTATTATTATATAGTCAGTTACTTTAGCGTGCATCAGCTGCGTATATAACGCATAATAGATACACAAGACACACACGCACACACGAACGCACGCACGCACACATACACAGACACACACAGGAGGTAAAGTAATGTTGAAATAAACGTGTGTATCATTAGCCGTCAATCGGAGATGTGAACGGAAGTATGAACAAGTGGCTTCGTTCGCTATTATAGCCATTATAGCCAGAGGATTTCGTAGGTAGAGATAGTTGAGTATTATAATATAGGTAGACTAAGGCAGCAAATGTTTAATTTCGTGTTTTGAGCGTGTCTAACTCCTGTACCGTGTACGTCTACGACTAAGTCTAAGACTATAAGAGTAAGACTAAACTCAATGACATGGTTACAAGTTAAAAACATGGTTGGCCAACCATTAGCCAATTAATTTACAGTTATACTGTAGAGATCAACAGTGAATATAAGAAAAGAAACATGCATAAATTATAAAAGCATAAATATAAGCTTTATTTACATTTCAACACATATTTGCTACCAAAATAAATACATCACAACTGAATTTAATACATATGAAAACATTTTCGTGAAAATCGAAACATCATTCATCACTGATCATGGAATCATCTCATAGCCTGAGATCAATATGTAATACACTAAATGGTTTTTATATATTTAGAAGTCATATATATATATATATATATATATATATATATATGTGTGTGTGTGCGTGCGTATATATATATATATATGGACGCATGCGCACACACATATATAATATGTATGTACATGTGTACATATATATATATATATATATATATATATATATATATATATATATATATTATATATATATATATGTACATATATATATATCCTGGACTAGTAAAGTTTTCACAACAAAAATCACATGATTATAAGGTGGTATATATGTATATATACATATACATATATACGCATGCACATATATAATATAGTAACTAGCATTTATTGTGCGCATGGTTTGATTGACAGTACTTTTGGCTGTATATACACACACACACATATATATATATCTATATATATATATATAATACATTTACATATCTATAATATATATACACATTTATATATATAAGTGTGTTTAAAAGTGAATCGAAATGCTCGCTACCTGGGTCGTCTGGCTAGGGATAGCCTCACGTTGATTCCATGTTGACAGGGTTACTGTGATAGTCTTCTATCCATCCCGGTATTTCGACCGCGTAGGTTGAGTCTGGTAT